ACACAGAGAGAAAGGGAGACACAGGATCTGAAGCAGGCCCCAGGCTCTGAGCTGTCAGCACAGAGCCTGACGCGGGGCTCAAACTCACGAACTGCAAGATCATAACCTGAACTGAATTTGGACGCTTACCCAACTCAGCCACCCAGGCGCCCCACATATAAACTTTTATATTATGTTCTTTCCCTGAGACCATTTTATAAAGCATTTTCCTGGGATGCCTGGCTGGCTCAGTGACTAGAGCACACAAGTCTTGATCTTGGGGTTGTGAGTTCAAGCCCCACAGTGGGCATAGAGCTTACTTCAAAAAAAAAAAAAAAAAGCATCATTGGAGTGCCTGGGTGGCTCAGTCGGTTAAGTGTTCGACTTCGGCTCAGGTCATGATCTCACGGTTCGTGGGTTCGAGCCCCGCGTCGGGCTCTGTGCTGACAGCTCGGAGCCTGGAGCCTGCTTCAGATTCTGTGTCTCCCTCTCTCTCTGCCCCTCCTCCACTCAAGCTCTGTCTCTCTCTCTCTCTCAAAAATAAATAAACATTAAAAGCAATTAAAAAACACATTAAAAATGTTATAAACATTTTCCCATGTTCTCAAAGTAACATTTTTTAAAGTTTATTATTTTGAGAGAGAGAGAGCACGCTCATGAGCCAGGGAGGGGCAGAGAGAGAGGGAGAGAGAGAATCCCAAGCAGGCTCTGCACCGTCAGCACAGAGCCTGATGTGGGGCTTGAACTCACAAACCATGAGATGATGATCTGAGCCAAAATCAAGAGCTGGACACTTAACTGACTGAGCCACCCAGGCACCCCTTGAAGTAATATAATATCTTTAATTGTGAAACGCTATTCTATCCATGTATTTGCTGTAATTTGCTTAACATTTTATATTATTGAGCCTGTAGGTCATTTTCAGCTTTTTACTATTAAATATAATATAATATAATATAATATAATATAATATAATATAATATAATGTGGATGAGCCCCTGGCAGAGGGCGAGCGTCTGCAGCAGGGGCAGGGGCGGTCTAGTTCACGCGCGGTTCGTCCATCCTGCTCCCTAGTTTTCACAGTCTGCATCATGAGCACGGCTCACTTATGTGCTCCACGTCCCTCCCCCCGGCAGTCTGCTCGGGAGATGCAGTGTTCCCATGTTAGATCGTGTCCTTAGGATGCGGTTCTTGGCGTCATGGCAGCGAGGCCCGTCTCCGTCGCTGAGGCCACGCGGTACCTGTCTTCCTGCGTCCTCATCAGTGATGGGCCAAAAGTGTGTCTGCATTTAGTTTCAATTAAAGTTTCGGCCGAGTACATTTATTGTTTTATTATGGAAATGTGCATTCAGAAAAGGTCTTTTTTTTTTTTTTAAATACAAAACACAGTGTTTAGGCAGGAACCTGAACTCATAGGGATGGAAATATGAAATAGTCGCACCCCCCACCCCTGCTGGGCTCAGGTGCCGCCCTGTCCCAGGTCGTGTGTCTCCTCTTGTCTACGGCTAACTGCCATCCTGACTCTGATGATTACGTCTCCGTGAGACGCATCTACCACGTCGGTCTCCGTAATTGGTTCATTTTCATCGCCATGGAGCTGAGGGTGGCAAGCTCGGTCTGTAGAGAGTCAGATTGTGCGGTTAGGCTGTGTGGGCCACAGTCTGTGTCCAGGCCTTCGTAGCCTGTGATGTGAGACCAGCTGCTGATCTCATGGAGACCCTTTTATAGCCCCTCTTCTCCTCTTGGTCTCAGGATCATCCTGGTCTTTGGCTTGGAACACTTTCGTTATCATCTGTCTTGGTGTGAACTGCTTTGGCTTTATCCCCTTTGGAGCTCTTTGAGCTTCTTGGACGTGTAGCTTCATTTTTCATCAACACTCAGCCAGATAGTTCACGACGTTTCCTTCTCCTTCACTTCCTGCTTGCTCCGAGCCTCGAGGTCAGCCCGAGGTGATTGCTCGGGTCCTTGTCGGGTCTCTCCTGGGTACGTGCACAGCCGTGGGCACACATGCGGCCCTGCCAGGACTGTCGGAAGTCCTCGCTCCCCAGCCTCTCCTCCCAGGCTCCAGCTCTTACCCACTGCCTCAGGCGGTAGCGGTGGACGCATTCGCCTATAAATGTGCCCCCGCCCCCCCCCCCCCCCCCGCCCCGGCACAGCCCCAAGGAGTGGCGCTAGGTCACAGATCTTCTGAGTCGTCCCTTTGCACGGACTCTCCAGCCAGCCCTCTCCTCAGGCAGCCGGCATTGGCCTTGGCATGAATACTTGCCATGTGTATACCGGGCACTCAAAGGTCTCTCTTCTTCCTGACTGACTCCCACAAAATCGTCCATTTGAAAAGCTGTCGTAACGTTCCTCCTGGTCACCACTGTCACTGTGACTTCCCCCCTGCACTGTGTTTCATTGCTGTTAATAAAATGCTTCTGAACCGTGCTGTCATTAATAGAACAGCGGTCATTACCGCCCTTTGCCGTGCGCCGTCTCACCTGACTGCAGGACTGCTGGGTGCACAGGACTGCCTGCTCGCCCTGGAGAGCCTGGCGTCCTGTAGGTCTGGACAGTAGTGAGGGAAAGCTCGACTCTCATCGCTGCAGCTCCTGGGTTTTGTTCGACCTGAGTCCTTAGGCTGCAGACGCACCCCAGAGAAGCGGTCAATGCCGCCTCCGTGCCAGGGCCAGTCGGAACGGCCTTCCCGCCTTCCCTGTTCCCATCTGACAAACTGAGGGCCTCGGCCTCCGTGACCTCTTCAGGCTCCGCGGCGGGGGAAGGTCCAGTGTGTCTGCGCCACCTCCCTTCCCAGTATAAGAAACCCAAAGCGAGGGGCTGGAGTGCCTGCCGAGCCTGTGTCCTGAGCTGTGCCCTTGCGTGCGCGGAGCGGGCTTTGGTGACGTGGGGCGGGCAGCCCACCCCATCGTCATTCACTAGTCACCGCGTCGACCGGGTGGACCCGAAGCCCCCTTTGCCTCGGTGCCGAGGCAGCGGAGGGGAGCTGACAGCACCGGCGTGGAGGGGTGGATGGTAGCAGTTGGTCGCATGCGGCGGATGGAGAAAGCCACGGCCCAAGGGAGAAGGGCCCTGCGGCCAGCGGCCAGCGGCCCCGGGGAAGGGCAGTGGTGGGCGGGCCGGAAGGGGAGGGAGCCGGCAAAGCAGGCCAGTGAGGCAGGTCGGTGCTGCCAGTGAGGCCTTAGCCTGCTGTCACGTAAAGAAAATGATTGACGTGAACAGCAGCCCAGGCCCCCGGTGTGGCCGGCAGCGCAGGAGAAGCCCGCCTTTGTCTGGCCCGAGGGCCCACGGCAGGAAGGCCACTTCCGTTGCCTTGCGCCCCGCGGGGCTCCTGCTGGGGAGCACGAGTGTCTCCCCCAGAGTGGAGCGGGGGCGGCCCCCTCTCCCCAGCCTGGACCAACGCCAGAGAAGAGAGAAGAGAGACCTGGACCAGCAGGGCTCGTGGGTCTTGGAGAGAAGAGAACTTTGCAGCAAACCCTAACCTAGAAAACTAGGAAACACCAACAAAGAGAAAAACAAGCACACACTCTTAGAAGTTAAAAGTGTTGAAACACATCGCGGGAAAGAGCTCTGTGGGGGGTGGGGCAGCAGGAGCAGCAACAAATCTGTGAGAATAGAGAGAAAAGAGACAGGGAAACAGTGACAGCATAAGCAATCTCAGCGGCCCGTGGCCAGCAGGCCCTCCAGAGAAGGCGAGGAAGGAGAGTAGAGGGCGGGGACCGGTGAGCGCAGAGCTGACGGGGTGTCTCTGGATTCCAAGTGCACCGTGGACAGAACTGGAAATACGCACCCCTAGCTCCAGTGCCGGGGTCCAGGCTTGCGGACACAAAGCCGGCGGCCTCCAGAAGCTAATGCCTTGCACGTTCGGAGGGCGGGGGGCTTCTGGCCTAAACCCAGAGCCCAGACAGCTCTGAGCCACGCGAGCCCAGGACAAAGGGGAGGGGTGCGGACTGATGGAGCACCCGGGGTTGAGGCGGCCCACGGAGGGCGGAGTGGAGCTGGAGTGGGGCTCGAGGTGGGGATGGCCTGAGGATTCGGGGGAGGCAGGTTACACCCAGAGGGACCTAGGAAAAGCCCATCGGTGGAGAAGTGTGATCAGGGCGGTAAACTACACCCAGTGGGGGCTCTGATGCCTGAGCCTCAGGGTCCCCCTCCAGACAGGCAGGACCAAATGTCAGTGAGAGGCCTTGCCAAGTGGGAGGGCAGAGGGCCAGCCAGGAGACGGAAGAAGGAGTAGGTGTCTATTTAAGTTAAGGCAGAGCCCAGAGTGGTGCCCCGAGCCCCCAGGGTGGGGGAGGGGTGTGAGTGAAAGTCCCTGTATGTCATGCCCAGGGGTCACTGTCTGAAATTGGTACCTCAGGAGGCAGTGGCGAATTATGGTGGCATCCCCTTTCCCTGAGAGCCGGGTAGCAGGTCGTGGCGGTCGCCTGCAGGCTGGCGGGCAGCTAAGGCGCGCGGCATTTGCCTTGCTGGCGTGCGTAGCTTGCTGTTCTGACCGAGATCGAACACACCGGCAGAATCAGAGAAAGCCCCAGCTCCTGGGCTCTGGAGCGACGGTGGGGACGGGCACGGACGCGGCCCAGTGAGTGGAACCTGACCTGGGGCTCGGCCTGGCACCCACAGGGGCAGCTCCTGGCCCGGCGGTGTCTGGGGGCACGCTGGGAGCCGGGCGCCCGGGCTGCAAGCCCTGTGAGTGCCAGGCGCAGGCGGGCCCGGGGCCGGAGGAGAACCAGCGAACCACAGTGTGGGCCTGGCTGGGGGGGAGGGGGGTGCGGAGTGGCCTCTTCTGGGCCGGGAAGCACTAGGGCTCACTTTGCTGTTTGTATTTTGTTTTCTGTCTGCAGCCACCAAAATGGAAGAACTAACTGAGAAATACAAGGTCTTCAATGACAGTCTGAAAGACATGGAGTAGTCTGGGGACTGGAAGCTCTGCCCTGAGGAGCCAGGGCCGGGCCGCAGGGGCAGGGGGCGGAGAGGGGTTGGGGCGCAGGGCCAGCCCTGAGGCGGGAGAGGCAGTGACAGCCACAAGCTCTGCGGGAGCAGCCCCATCAGCCCCATCGGCAGCTTGGGACAGAAGGAGGGAGAGGGCAGACTTGAGCTGGACAGAAAGGAAAGCTCGGGTTCCAAGAAGCCGCCTCCCGACTGCCTCCTCCCCTCTGCCGTCTGGCTGGGGCTGAGGGGGCCGTGGCTCCCCCACTGCTCAGTCTGCCCTTCTCCCCGTGGTGGTGTCCCAGATCCCGGGCTCTGGGCTTCCTGCTGTCCCAGGCGGCCTTGGCACTGCTTCTGCTCCTGCCCCTGCCTGGTGAAACCTGGGGACGCCAAGCCTCACATGTCTCCGCCTCGCCGTGGGACCTGACCGCCCCACTGCCGTCTGCACTGTGACTGGCCTTGGGGTCCCACGTGAGGACTCCCGGCAGACCCCGGGCCCAGCCACCGACACCCGGCACCCAGCGCGTCTGGAATTGAGTGGGCGGGCACGTGTTTCCTCCTCCCTCCCCAGGGCTCCCTGCACCCGCCTGGGAAATTCTTGCCAGTGGCCTGACCGGTTGTCCGGGAAGCTGCTCTCTGGGCTTCCCAGGGTGACCCAGTATCTCCCTGAGCAGTGCGCCCGTCCCTCCCTCCGAGCACGGGAACAGGCACCACTGGCGGGGCCTCTGCCTCCCTCAGCCCGGTGGCGGGCCGGAAGGGGCTTGTGGAGGGGCCTCCCTCTAAACACTTGGCCCACCGCACAGGCCTGCCCTGGCTGTGAGCCTCCCCTGCTCCTGCGCCCGCTCCTCCTCGACTTCCCTGCGGCTGCTCCGGACGGGAAGGCTGCTGAGGGAGGGAGGGGGACGGGCGGGCCCAGGGTCACCATTGTCCAGCTGCGCCGGCAGCTTCACGGTCCAAGGGACCCACGACGGCCTGTGGCAGGCAGGCCACAGCCAGCATCTTTGTTGCCTCCCCGTGCCCCTGGTGGGAGGCTGGGCCTGCGGGCACCCACCAACCAAGGGCTGGCATAGCTTGCTCTGGAACGAGGTACTCGGGATGGTGCCACCCACTTTCTGGCCACGGAGGGCCTTCTTGCTTTCTGCCTGTCTTGAATGTACCTTTTGCCCTTGACTGAGCCAGGTGGGCCGGGAGGGCCCCAGAGCCTGGGCCGGGAGGGGCTGGGCTTCACTTCTCCTCCCATGGTCCTGGGGCTGGGGTCGCTGCCGAGGCCGCCTCGTACCCCCACCTCTCGCGTTGCCCGTCCTTCATCACTCGGTGGAGCCACCTGGCCTTGCCAGGTCAGGCTCCGCCTCTCTCCCTCCTTCCTGGCGGCCTCTGCTAAGGGTCTCTTAGATAGTACGGGTCATTGCACCTGTGAAACGGATAGTATCTCCCCTTCCCGGTGGGGATGAGCTTGTGAGATGTGCGAGCCACGGCCAGGCAGCACAGAAGCCGCCCCAAGATCACTGGGGCGACACTGAGGTCCCATCCTGAATGCGCCCTTCCCTTGACTGGCCGAGCATGGCTTGTGCAAGCACCTCTTTGCTGCTCCTAGGCCCCCTTTAGCCTCATGAGGGGCTGCTGGGTCCCCTGTGACCCAGGTGGAGCGGTGCCCTGGAGGGGAAGGCTTGCCACCTTGGTGGGAGGGGCCTCGGCTCGGCTGCCGTGTCCTGGCCCTGCTCAGACTTGCGTTTCCTCCTCGTGCCTGTGATGACATGTTCTTCCAGCTTGTGGGGAGCCTTGCGTGTGGCCCGGGAGCCTGCTTTCCAATCTGTAAACATGGGTCGTATGTCTCAGCAGCTGTGAGTGAGCGAGGGGGTGGCAAGCCGGCCGCACAGGTCCTGCGGCCTTAGGCCTCCTCGTTGCCCAACAGGCGGCTGGGGGCGGGCCGTGGCCACTGATTAAAGGCCGCCTGGAGCAGCCTGTGTGGAGACAGGTGCCCAGCAGCCCAAGAAGCCGGTGAGCAGCCGCCCCAGGTAAGCCGGCCAGCAGGGTTGGTGAGGACAGCTGCCAGGAGCCCAGACGCAGGTGACCAGGTTGGGGAAGGCACCTGTGTGCAAGGGAGAAGGCCAGAGGAGGCCAAACCAGGGAGGCTTGGCTGCCTGCTTCCCGACAGCTGACCCTAGGGTTGCAGGCGCAGGGTGCTGTGCCTGAGGCTCCTCGATAAGGTGTCTCAGTGAAGATGCCATCCTGGGCTAGCACCTCCCGGGTCCCTGATGACGTGGACGTGGCTCACTTTGTGTCTCCTGTACCTGGAGGCAGGCAGCAGAGGCCTCTGGGCCGGGATCCGGGCACATCAGGCCTGCCTTTTGCCGTTGACTAGCTGGTGGTGGTGATGATGGCCAGGGAGGGACTGGGGCACAGAATGGAGAGGGTGGCGAGGCCCTAGGAGGCCTCACCGTCGACAAAGGGGTTGGAGCATTGGCCACGGGGTCGGCTGTGTGTGGCTGGGCCCAGGCGTCCCCATCACTTCGGCCTTCAGGTTTTATGCCTTTTGCTCTGGCAGCTTTAGGCTTTGCTGTCCCCGTGAGCACATCACCATGTCCGAGGTGCCCCGGGCCGAGACTTTCGTCTTCCTGGACCTGGAAGCCACTGGGCTCCCCAGTATAGATCCCGAAGTGGCCGAGATATCTCTGTTCGCGGTGCACCGCTCCTCCCTGGAGAACCCAGACCGAGATGAGTCTGGTGTCCCCGTGCTGCCCCGGATCCTGGACAGACTCACGCTGTGCATGAGCCCAGAGCGTCCTTTTACCGCTAAGGCCAGCGAGATCACCGGCTTGAGCAGTGACAGCCTGGCCCGGTGCCGGAAGGCCGGCTTTGACAGCTCCGTCGTGCGGACTCTACAGGCCTTCCTGAGCCGCCAGGAGGGCCCCGTCTGCCTCGTGGCCCATAATGGCTTCGATTATGACTTCCCCCTGCTGTGCACAGAGCTGCGGCGCCTGGGCGCCCACCTGCCCCCGGACACCATCTGCCTGGATACACTGCCTGCGCTTCGGGGCCTGGACCGCGCCCACAGCCATGGCACCCGGGCCCAGGGCTTTAAGGGTTACAGCCTGGGCAGCCTCTTCCGCCGCTACTTCCACGCCGAGCCGAGTGCCGCCCACTCAGCCGAGGGGGACGTACATACCCTGCTCATGGTCTTCCTGCACCGCGCCGCTGAGCTGCTCGGCTGGGCAGACGAGCAGGCCCGGAGCTGGGCCCGCATCGAGCCCATGTACGAGCCACCCGATCGTCCGAGCGTTGAAGCCTGAATGCCGGGGGCTTGGTGACGCCACCGCCCAGGGGCGTGAGGCCTGCCCCCAGCACCATGGGCAGCGCCAGCTCTGACCATTCAGTCGGGCCCTGGGGCCGGAGCTGGCAGCGGACCGGTGTCCCACTGTCCCTCTCCCCATCCTCTGAGCTGGCTGTCCCTGGGCCTGCGCACCTGCCGGGCTTTCTCCCTGCCCGGGCCTGCCCAGCCTTGTAGCCCCAGAGCTCCCTGCTGGCCACCCCTCACCTGGCCTCTCAATAAACATGGACGAGTACTCAGCAGTTGAACCTCCAGTTTCCCTCTCCACCCTGCCCAGAGGGAGCAGGCAGGGAGCTGGGCCAGGGGCCGGAGCAGAGCCCCCTGGGGCCGCCTCCTTGTGGCCGTTCCTTGCTGAGAACCCGGTGGGTGACTGACAGGTGGGGGCCGTGGGCCTCCTCCCTGGCTGGTCTGCTGCTGCCTGGCCTATCGTCCCCTCCCTGCATTGTCACCCCGGAGGCCCAAGAAATGAGTGCACGGGGCCTCAGGAACATGTGCCTTGGTCCCGAGTCTGTGCTGGGGAGGGAGATGGTGCAAAGGCCAGCTCCAGTCCTCGCCCCTGTGGGCCCGGGGCATCTCCTTCCTCTCCTGGAGCCCCTGTCCCTGCCCTGCGAGGTGACGGCAGGATGAAACAAGATGGGCACACAAGATGGGAAGCGCCCCCATTCGCACACAGACAAGTATGCAGAAGGGGCCTTATATGTGCAGGTCAAGCTCCAGGAGGGCCTACAGCAGGAGGGGTGCATAGAAGAGGTGGGGTGGCCGGTGCAGTGGGGGCGATACCTAGGAAGGAGGTTGTCCTGGGCCCCTGTGGCTTGGCCTGAGGAGGGCCAGGAGGCTGCCCTGTGGGGAGGACAGCTTCTCAGCAGCTGCTTCTGTTGGGCTTTGAGGAGCCAGCTAACCTGCCTCGGGGGCCCCACCTGTGTGACCAAACGATGGGGCAAGGCAGGGGCGGGGGCAAGGCAGGGGCGGGACGTCCGGGAGACAGGGAGAGCAGGTGAGAAGGGGTGGGGTGGGTGGGGCGGCCACACCCGCGTGACTCCCTTGAGTGAAGCCTTGAGCCCATTCAGGACACTCTAACTAGGTCACAGTGACTAGAGCCACTGCAACGTGGAAGGGAGAAGAACAGTGACGTCAGAACACAGGCAGTGGCCCCGTCGGGTCATTCCCATTGCCGGGGCCGGGGCGTCTGCACTGACCCTGAGGGCGATGAGGAGGCACAGACAGTTGTTGGCAGGAGAGGGGCAAAATCAGGTTTAAGTTTTCACAGTGCCTGTCGGGCTGCTTTGTGGAGGATGGACTAAAGCAGGCCTCAGACTGGGAGGTTGGCAACCGAGGGAGAGAGGAGCAGTGGGTTTGGGGCTCTATTGCAGGGAGCGCCACTGGCCCGGCCAAGGACAGAATGGCGGGGGTGGGGGAGGGTACATGGTAAGGGAAAGACCTGTAGGGGGCTAGTTGCGGAGTGTGGTCTGTGTGCCATTGAACTTCCCGAGGAAGGCTGGTTGGCTCCCTGCCCCCGCGGGCACCCACCTGGAAGGGTGCCCCGAGGCCGGGCCTGAGTGCGTCCTCAGTCCAAGAGCCTTCACCAGGCAGAAGCTGAGAGTAGGGGACGCCACCAGGCTCGAGGCAGCCAGGGACGCTCAGGTCCTCTGGTGCCCGAGCAGATCCACGTGTCCATTATCTAGCTGGCCAGGCTCCAGGCCACCGACTCGCAGAGGCGGTGATGCCACGAGGCTCCCTTCTCACTCGCTGGGCATGTCAGGAGGGGCTCGAGTCCAGGCCCGGGTGGGCAGGGTCTGTCACAGACCAGGTGACAGCCTGGTCAGTGGCCACTGCCGCTGCCCCAGAGTGGTCTCTGGGCCCAGATGCGTCTGTCTCAGCACTCTGGGCTCCCCTGACCTCTTGGTGGCCTGGCCTCAGGCACCCTTCTTAGGCCCATGCTTGGCGGGCCAGGCCGAACGTCACACAGTCAGGCTAGGGCTGCCGTGCTGCTGCTGGAAAGCAGCAATGTGCTCAGAAGGGGGTGACAGCAGCTTTCCCGGGAAGTAAATGTAAACCCATGAATGCATGTATCTGTGTACGTAGGTATATCTGTTTCTCTGTCTCTGTCTCTCTCTCTCTCTCTGTGTGTGTGTGTGTGTGTGTGTGTGTGTATACACACACACGTACATACATAAATAACTTCATTATAAGTTTTATCGATATGAAGAATGTGAACACACAATTTACAAATAAAATACTACACTCATGCAAAATATACAATAAAATGCACAATATGCTATTTATAAGTTCCATATGGCCAAAGTTTTGCAAAATCCCTCACAAATCTTGCAACATGCTTACCAAATCCCTTCATTGACTTTTGCTGAACTTTTGTATCTACACCCAACCCGTGATTGCAGCTGGTGAACGAGTGTGGTTCCCAGGTAAATGTCGGTTGCTATTTTCATTTATCTCAATGAGTAAGAGGAAGTGAAACAGAGACACGAGCACCAAAGCTGAATTGGATAATAGTTTCTGCTATTGGAGGAGTAGTTCCTCTTTTTTTTTTTTTTTGCTAGTCACAATGTACTGACTACAGGCTCGAGTTTACACAATCAACAAATAGTAATGGACCAAGCCCTGGTTTGTTGTGTATGCTGATTGCCATGGTGTGAATACGTTCACCAGGCCGATTCTAGGTTACCCACACGACGTCATCAAATGTGGGGCTGGGAAGAGATTCACCTTAACGTACTGTTAATGTACGTCCCTACCAAATGGATGTCAATGCATCCATAACAGTAGAGTGCAGCGAAATAAGACGTGATGGGGTTTTAGGTTCTCCTTTGTTTTTAATATAATGTGAGTGGGAGTTCATATAATTTCATTTCTAATAATGGTGGTGTTTCCCAATCAGCTCCCCAAATTCCCGGACGTTTAGCGTTTATTAGAATGGCTAAAATATAAACCTGCCCATCCCAAGTGCTGACGAGGATGTGGCAGAACCGGTGGCAATGTAAGATGATACAAGCACTTTGGAAAACAGTTTGGCCGTGTCTTAAAATGTGAGACGTGCACCTCCCATAATGCCCCAGTGATTCCATTCCTAGGTATTTACTTACCCGACAGAGATGACCTTATGTGTCCACACAGAGACTTGCACGTGACGGTTCATGGCGGCTTTATTCACAGCAGTCCCAGACTGGAAAGAACCCAAGTGTCCCTCAGCAGCACATCCGTACCACGGCGCCCCGCTGAACAGTGACAGCGAGCGTGTGAGACACAGCAGGTTGTGGGGGGTGGGCACTCACAGTAATTACGCGGCTTGAAACGGGACAGACCCAGAGAAACAACACCACTACTCCAGCTCACTCTGGCCAGCCACCTGCCTGTCGTCAAGATGTGTCACTGGCTTCGAAGCCACATCAGTGTCTGCCAATAGGGATGTATCTGTGACCAGGAGCATTCCTGGGGGAAACAACGCAAGCCAATTGAAAACAGAATTATCCACGCAGAGGGATGAGAACCCAAACAACAAGGCCAGGAGCATTTTCAGGTTGTCTTTGTGCAGGAAACAAGGTGATGAGGGCAAAGTGTGAAGTGGGCCACCATGAGCCGAACCTCGAGCCTCGAGCAGAAAGCTGGACACAGGACACGGCCGGCCCTCCTGCCATCGTTTCTTCAGGGAAGCTACCCGCTGTTTGTGTTTTCTCTAAACGACGCTTGGCCTTGTATGGGATTCATACGGGGCACACGAGTGTGTGGAAAAGAAATTCATATTGCGGATCCCTGTCCCTGAGAGCAGTGTCGCATCGTGAGGACCCTGCTCTCTGCACCTCAGCTCCTGCGCATGCACCCTGCCACCACACGTTCCTCCCCGTTCACACCCACACACCGACTCACACGGGTGTGCAAACACACCCCTCAACATGCGCCCCCACATACTTAGATGCGCCCCATTCACACACGCGTGCTTATGATTCTACATGAGTGGATCTCATTAGATTCTGCTTACAAATATCACAAGCACGTCTTCGTTGTTTCAGGGTCTATAAAGTCAGTTTCTGCCAGGCGTTCAGGCGCGATGCCATAATTCTTCCTGTTTCTTCAGTGTTTGCAGCAATCTCTTTCTCATTAGCTGGGCTTTTCAAAGAAAAAAACCCCAGGATTTTGAGCATCCTCTCTGTCTCTCTCTCTCTCCCCCTCTGGTTTTCTGCTTTATTAGCTTCAACTTCTATCTTTATTAAATCCATCTGTCTATTTTCTTTGGGTTGACTTTTTCTTCTGTTTTTTTTCTAATTTCTTAAGGGGAAGACGCATATCTTTCTCATCTTCTATCTTGAATAACTAAGGCCAAAGACTAACTTTTCTGCCAGTGAGATCTTCTGTGTCTCTGTGGTTTGCTATATGAAACGTTCCTCTTTGCTTTGTGTTACAAGTGTTTCTCCTTTCGCTTTCATTTTTTCCCTGAGCTGATGCTTGCAGAGTAGAATTTAGCTTAATTTCTGAGTTGTCAAGACTTTGTGACCATCTCTTACTATGTATTTCTAATTGTATTGGATAGTGGTCTGAGGATGTGTTGCTTAAGGTTGTTGGGGGGCTGTGTGAGTTTCGTAGGGCAGCTGTAACAGCACCACACGGTGAGTGGTTCACACAAGAGAAACTCCTTGGCTCACGAGGAGTCTGAGGTCCGGGCGTGGGCCGGGTTGGCTCCTTCCGGCGACTCCGAGGGAGAGTCCGCTCCGGGCCTCTCCTCCGGTTTCTGGCTCTTCCCGGCCATCTGCGGTGCTGCTCGGCCTGTGGAAGCATCGCCCGGATCTCGGCCTTGATCTTCACGTGACCTTCTCCCTCTGTGCGTGTCTCTGTGTCCAAACTACCCCTTTTCGTGAGGACCCAGTCCTACGGGATTGGGGCCCGTGCTAACGACGGCACAGTAACTTGATCATCTCTGTGCAGACCCCGTCTCCAAATAAGGTCCCCTCCACAGGTATTGGCGGTTACGACCCCGACATGTCGTTTTCGTGGAGGGGACATCACTCAACCCATAACAGGGGCCTAGTGTATAAATAACTTTGAAAACACGTTGCACAGACTGTGACAACGTGTGTCTCCTTAAGACATGTGCACTTTTCTATATTCCTCCAGAATCTCGTTCGACAATTGTGCTGACTCCTTTCTGTTTTGACTTGTTTTGGACTATGACATCGATCCCGTTCTAGGCCATTATATGAAAATATGCTGTTATGATGGCATGCTATTGACATCTGCCTGCCTGCCTTGCAGTTTCTATGCGTGTAGTTGTTGTGTGTTCGTGCTTATGGCTCGAGGACCGTATCCGTCAGGATTCTCCTGAGAAACGGAACCAGCGGGATATAAGTACAAGAAACTGGCTCACACGATTTTGGAGGCCGGAGACGCAGGAAAGAGCCATGGAGGCTGATCTGCTTTCCTCGGGGTCTACTGATTTCGGTGTCCATCCATCCGAAACAATCCCTTCACGGTGACGTTTACAGTCACGTTTGTCCAAAAAGTGGGTACCCTAGCCTAGCCAAGGTGACCCAGAGAACGAAGCAGCTCAATGCCTGTTCTCCGGGCTTTGTTCCCTGGGCCTTCTGTCACTCACTGAGACGGCACTGCCCAGTTCGATGGCCCGCCACTGCTTCCCGAGGCCTCTGAAAGGGCAGACCTACGCCGGCCGACTCCATCTTGTTTTGTGTCCTTCACCTTGACCACGCCTCCTCCCCTTGAGTAACCTCCCGCTCACCCTTTCAAACTTCCCGATCAAAACACGCCCAGCGACCTGCGTAACAGGACTCCGACCCTTCCCCAGCCAATCGGCCGAGTCCACGGGCCTTCCCCAGCCAATCGGCTGAGGCCACAGCCATTACCTCACCAACTGCCCCTAGGCCCCAATAAAACCTTTGTGCTTTTGAAACTCGCTCTCTCTCCCCGGTATCTCACCGCTGCCTCGGTGCAGGTAGGGAATTGAGCTCGAGCTAGCTCGAATAAAGGCTCTTTGCTTTTGCATCGGACTCGGCTCCCTGGCGGTCTTTGGGGATCACGAATTCTGGGCATAACAGCCTCTAGGACAGTTTCCGAGTTTTTGCTCCCCTTCCCCTGCCCGGTGGGTGCCTTCGGCTGGGAGTGGGGCTCGCAGGCTGCAGTGCACCTGGCTGAGGCCACTTCCCCAGCCTCCGGCTTCGAGAGTTGCCTGGGGAGCTGGCCCACCTATATCCGCTTCCGCTGTGGCCGCTCCCTTTTGTTTGGAGGCTTCTGAGATGTTCCCGCTCTCCGGGGAGCCCAGCAACGTTCACCAGGCACCGCCTGCTTCCCGGGTCTGGGCTGGAGCAGCCGAGGGGCCTTGGTGTCCTCAGCGAGGTTTTTACTCACGTGTTACCTTGCTTCCTTTCGGAGCCTGCTCGTTATTTTTTGTCTCCTACCTGCCACCCCGGGCTTGTCTCTTTTAATTTAAAATGGAAAAAAAAGTTGTTTTCATTAATTTTTTAATGTTTATTATTTTTGAGAGACAGAGCACGAGTGGGGGAGGGGTAGAGAGCGAGAGGGACACAGAATGGGAAGCAGGCTCCAGGCTCCGAGCTGTCAGCACAGAGCCCTACACGGGGCTCGAACTCACGGACTGTGAGATCATGACCTGAGCCGAAGTCGGATGCGTAACCGACTGAGCCACCCAGCTGCCCCTAAAATGAAATTTTATTTTTCATCCCAGCTTTATTGGGGTATAATTAGTGTACAAAACCATGCACACTTCTCAAGATCGCCGTCCTAGCTGGCGGCCAGTTCACCTGGTAGTCAGGGGGGCCTTCTGTGCCCTCGCATTCCCTTTATCCTAAGGACAAAGACAGCCTTCTCAGTGCAGCCGGCGCTAGGGGCCTACTCTCCTCGGGGTTTGCATTTCAAAGGGGCCCTTAAGAAGAACCTTCCTGGGCCGAAAGGCTGGCCAGAGGCTTATTTAGGGTTCTCACCCAGGTGCTCTGAGGAAGGGACAAGAGAAAGGTCTCCCGACGGGGAAATCTCATGCCACATTTGCATTTGACTGGCCTTTCCAGCGGCGCAGGCTGAGCGAGGCGGCGCCCCGGGCGCAGCCCCAAGGTGTAGACCGCAGGCCCGGAGTGCCAGGGTCAGCTTGCCCGCACACTTGGCGCGTGGCCTCTCAAATGCCTAGGTGGGTTGTCCCCTCCCCAGCAAGCTCCCCTACTGGCTCCCTGCCTCTTCTCACCTCCACCAACCTGGCCAAACTAGGAGTCTGGGGAAGCGCTTGTTTGGCTGCCCTGGGCCTGACACATGGGCCGGGAAGAGAAGGCAGGAAGCGCGGGGCCGCTGGCGCAGGATGACGGGTGTGATGGCGGCAGGGAAGGGCTGGTGGCCCACCCGGCAGGAGGGCAGGAGGAGGCCGGCTGGTACGGGGCTGGGCGCAGACTTTCCGGCCACTTCAGAAAACGTTGACGGCTAGAAACCTATTCTCAGACCCCGACAACTGGGGTACATGGAGCACCGTCCTTGCCCTCCGGTGCCTGAGAGGTTGAGAACCTGGAGAGCCTGCTCACCGACAAAGAGCAACGAGGCATTGACCTCTTCCCCCCCCCCCCCCCCCGCCATGTGCCTACTCTGGTCTGGGCCCCAGGATGGCGGTGAGAAAGGACCCGGCGTGGGCTGTGCAGGGGCAGGGCCTGGGTGCCGGGTCCTGCCCCTCTGCTCCCTGTTCCCCAAGTCTGTGACCAGCTGGGGTCACCTAACAGGTTGGCCTCAGCTTCATCTGTAAATGGCGACAGCGCAGCGTGGCCGGAAGGTGATTACGTGTTGAGCACGTACTCTTCGCGCGGCCTCCGTCATCCTTTCTTCCGGCTCCTTGAGCTCCAGCCACACGGAACAACACGACACGCGCGTTCCCATCTGTGGCGGGTCGAATGGGGGCCATGCGCAAGGTCCGTCCGCGTCCTAATCCCTGGACCCTGTGAATATGACCTTATTTGGTCTTTGCAGATACAGTTACATCTGAGATGATCTTGAGATGTGATCAGCCAGACTTACCTGCCCAGGTCCTAAATCCAATGGCAAGTGCCCTCATAAGAGACAGAAGGGGAGGGACACAGACACAGAGAAGGCCAGATGACATCGGAGGCAAGGATTAGAATGATGTAGCCACAAGCCAAGGAATGCAGGGGACCGGCAGCAGGTGGAAGAGGTGAGGACTGTGAGAGACTAAATATCTATTGTTTTAAGCCACCCGATTTGTGGTACTGGTTACAGCAGCCCCAGGAGGCCAACGCACTGCCCCAGGACCTTTGCACTGCCTGTGCCCTCCGCCCGGACTGCTTTTCCAGACACCCCCCTCAACCAGGTCCCTGCTTCAATGTCCACTCTCCCGAGCCGCCATTTCCACCACCTCTCACTGTCTCTCCCCTGCTCCCGGCCGTATTCCAGCCCACCCCCACCCTGCACACAGCAGCCCGGTCCCTGGAGAGAAGGCCAGCTCCACAGGGGCAGGGATGTTCTCTTGCTCACCGTGGCCTCAGTGTCGATCTGTTGACTGAAAGTACGCAGGCTCTCTTCCCCTTTATCACAACCTGCGTCTGTGAAAGAACCTCAGTTTCGCAGGAAGAAAAGTGAGGTGCACGGCCCGCCACACGACCGGTGGTTAGTGACGGAGGGAACTGCAAGCAGCCATCCCCAAGGGGGGCAGAGTTGGGAAACCGAGGCGGCCAGCCGGGTGCCCTCTAGTTTCGAGAACAGAGTCGGCCACAGTGGCAAGAGCCGTGGGTCTGGTGTCCCGGGGTCTGGGGTCAGGATGGCACCCACCTCGGCAGCAGCCACGTGGGAGGGCGCTCAGGCAGGACCGGCAGAAAGGAAGGGGTCAGCAGGACTGCATACCCTCCAGAGGCTCTAGAGGAGGATCAGTCCTCACCTCTTCCAGCTGCCGGAGGCCCCAGAAATTCTTTGGCTTGTGGCCGTGTCACTCCAGTCTCTACCTCCATCCTTATGCGGCCATTTTCTCCGCGTGTCTGGGTCTTCAGTCATTCAGTGTGTCTGGCCCTATTTGTAAATAAGGTTGCATTCTGAGGTACTGGGGGCTAGGACCCCAACATACCTTTTGGGGGGACACGATCCACCTCATGGCATCACCCAGTATCCATTCCAGCCTTCTTCTCTGGGGAGAAGATCCCAGTTTTGTTCAGGGCATCAGTAGGCTCAGCCTCAAGTGACAGGTCATGACAATCCTGTATCCAGCTTTCCCCAGCCTCTCTTCCAGCTAAGGGGGGCGGGGGGCATGTGATCCGCTGTGACTGAGACTTAAGTGGAAGTCTGCTGGGAAAGTTTCTGGAAAAACTGTTGCTTTCTTGGTATAAGAGGACAGGTGTGGTTATCCTTGCCCTTTCCCCCTTCTGTCCTTGAATGTATATGTGATGGCTGGAGCTTCAGCAGCTGTTTTGTGATCACGAGTCAGCACACATTTGTTCCTATGACGCCTTTGCGTAGCCCAGCCCATATTTGATAACAGCCTCAGCTATAATATAAAACAGAACTGTGCATCCCACGTTCGTGGTTCTGAGAACCCATTGTTCCAAGATTAAAAAACAAAACAAAACAAAACAAAACACCTTTCTGGCAAAGACTTCTAACAGGAAAACAAAATCAAATTGAAACAAGGAAGTAAGAATCAAATTAATCTTTTGTCTTTTCTTTCAGTTAAAATATTCCTCGCTTAATATATAACTTACTTTCTCCCGTATTCTGGCTAGTTCAGTGGAAACAAGGTGAAAGGAGGTGGAGAGAGAATGAGTCAGGCAGGCAGAGAAGAGGTGGGGAGAGAAAGAGACAGGAGTAAAGAGAAAAGCAAGGTTGAGGAGGAGAGTAGAGGAGATCTCGGCTGTCTCCTCAGACTATGAGGGTGGGATAAAAAAATGAACAAATGCAGTGTATCGGGAAAGTGCCCCCAAGTCCAGGTGACCACTGTGTGTTAAATACAGATTTTCTGCTTGTTGAATACAATCCAGGACTGTAAATGTCCTTTCTCTTCCTTGCGATTTTCTTCATAACATTCTCTGTTCTCCAGCTTACTTTTTTGTAAGAATGCAGTATATAATACACGTAACATCCAAAATATATGTGTTCGTCGACTATCTATGTTATTGGTGAGGCTTCTGGTCAACAGTCAGCTATTAGAAGTTAAGGTCTGAGGAGTCAAAGTTACACATGGATTTTCAGCTGTGCAGGCGGCCAGCACCCCTAACTCCCATGCTATTCGAGGATCATCTGTAATAGAAAACCTGACTGTGGTGATTAAATCCAAGTTTAATTTTCTTATGTAAGGAATCTGGAGGGTAGCTTGCTCGTTTAGCAGCAGGGCATTGGTGAGGCCCAGTATCTAATTAGCTTAGCTTTGCCTCGTGATCACAAAATAGCTGCTGAAGCTCCAGCCATCACATATACATTCAAGGACAGAAGGGGGAAAGGGCAAGGATAACCACACCTGTCCTCTTATACCAAGAAAGCAACAGTTTTTCCAGAAACTTTCCCAGCAGACTTCCACTTAAGTCTCAGTCACAGCGGATCACATGCCCCCCGCCCCCCTTAGCTGGAAGAGAGGCTGGGGAAAGCTGGATACAGGATTGTCATGACCTGTCACTTGAGGCTGAGCCTACTGATGCCCTGAACAAAACTGGGATCTTCTCCCCAGAGAAGAAGGCTGGAATGGATACTGGGTGATGCCATGAGGTGGATCGTGTCCCCCCAAAAGGTATGTTGGGGTCCTAGCCCCAGTACCTCAGAATGCGACCTTATTTACAAATAGGGCCTTTGCAACAACGTGGGAATCAAGAAATGCTAACACGTGTGCAGGGCTTGGACACTGAAATCGCAAGCTGCTGTCGAGAGGAAGGAGGGAAGGCCCCTGAATGAGGAGCTATGTTAGGTTCACAGACTGAAGGCCTCAGGGTGTTCAGATGTCTGTCCTCCCCAGAAGGATGTATACATTCGATGCAATCCCAATCAAAATCCCATCAGGCTTCTCCCCCCCCTCCCCCACAGGAATGGACAAGGTATTCTAAAACTCATGCAGAAGTGAGACACACTTAAGATAGACAAAACAAGTCTGAAAAAGAACCATATCAGAGGATTCACATTACCCGATTTCAAGACTATTTATAAAGCGACAGTAACCAAAAAAAAAAAAAAAAAAAAAAAAAAAAGTAACATAAAAATAGACAAGCCAATTGATGGGGCACCACAATGAGTCCAGAAGTAGACTTTCACACAGCCAATTGATTTTCAAGCAAGATGTCCAGACAATTTGGGGCGCCTGGGTGGCTCAGTTGGTTGGGCGACCGACTTCGGCTCAGGTCATGATCTCACAGTTTGTGAGTTCGAGCCCCGCGCCGGGCTCTGTGCTGACAGCTCGGAGCCTGGATCCTGCTTTGGATTCTGTGTCTCCCCCCTCTCTCTGCCCCTCCCCTGCTCACGCTCTGTGTCTCTCTGTCTCTCAATAATAAAGAAATGTTAAAAAAAATAAAAATAAATAAAAAAATATAAAAGATGTCAAGGCCACTCAATTGGGGAAAAGATCATCTTTACAACAGACAGTGCTGGAGAAACTGGATCTCCGTATAGAAACAATAAATAAATTGTGAATTCACCTGACACTACACGCAAAAATTACCTCAAAATGGATCATAGTCCTAAATGTAGGAGCAAAAACCCTACAACTTCTAGAAGAAAACAGGATCAAATTGTACGGAGTTGAGTTTTGTAGAGACTTCTTAACTGTGCAAACTATAAAATTTAAAAAATCCAGACATTGGGCTTCGTCAAATAAACCAACTTCTGCTCTTCAAAAAAAATAAACAAACAAAAACAAAAACAAAAACAAAACCAAAACAAACCCTCACTGTTATGAAAATAGAAAGGCAAAGCCCCAGTCTGGAAGAAAATATTTGTAGACCATACCTGACAAAGGACTTGTATCTAGAACTCTTACAACTAAATGATAAGACAAACAAATCAATTAAAAATGGGCAAAAGATTTGAACAGACCGTTTACCAAAGAAGATATATGAGTGGCTCAGAAGGACAGGAAAAGACGCTCAACATCATTAGCCAAGAGGGAAGTAAAAATCAAAACTACAATTAAATACCATTTCATTGCCCCGGCCCCCCCCCCGCCCAGGATGGCTGGAATGAAGAGGACAGATAAGCGTTAAGGATGACGTGTCATAACCAGAACCCGCAGACGCTGCTGGTAGGGATGTAAAACGGGGCAGGTGTTTAGGAAAACTTAGTCTGGCGGCTTGTCAGCAAGTTACACGTAGAGTTACCATAAGACCTACCCCCACTGCTAGCCGTACGCTCAGGACAAATGAAGACATATCCACACACACACACACACACACACACACACACAAACTGCACTCAAGTGCTCATAGCAGCTTTATTTGTCATGGCCCCGGGCTGGAAACAACCCAAATGTCCACCAGCAAGCATTCAACAGGTCTTGTGGCCCACGCAGGATGATACCTCTACATGAGGCGGTCAAAGAAAGATGAATCGGTGACCTGCAAATCCTGGGGGGGGGGGGGGGATCCCTGTGTTGTGAAGTCATAGACACATCAGTAGGAGCATGAGAGGGGATGAGCTAGTGAGCCCACAACAAGTGGCAATTCCTGAGAACGTCATTTGAGGTGCTCACGTCGAAGAGTCCCGGGTCAACACCTAATGAACATCAGAAGCATCTGGCTGACTGTCGTGTGTATACTTGGTGGCCAGCCTTCAGAGTCACGCGCTCTAGAGGTTATGATATACACTAACGTCCCCTCCTCAATGTTAGAATAATTCTTTGATGTTAAAAAAAAATCGCTCCTCATCAGGAAGCAGGTGGAGATGGAAGTTCTTCGTCTGGCATCCGAGGCTTTCTGCACTCTGCTTCTCATGACCATCTGCCCCCCCAACAGTCCTACCAAAATCCCTCTGCTTTTTGGGGGTTCCTGACCACACCATGTGCCCCTTCTTCTTCCCCCTACCCTGCCTGAAATCCCTCCACCTCTCCTTCCCGTTTCAAGAACCCCCCTGCTGCTCGCTGTGGCCGTGGCTTCAAGACACACTTGTCTCTGCCGCCTGACAAGACATACACGTAGTAGCATCCCCACCTGAAAGCCTGCTGTGCTCCTCCGGCTGAGGGAAGGAGTGAAGGTCCTGGCCCGTCCTGAGACGTTCACGGAGAATCAGCCGTGCCGTAGGCATCCCGCTGCGCCCCTGCTGCCGTAACACCAGCAGAACCAACCTCGGGAGCGAGAGCAAAGCAAACACGTAGAAGCTAAGGATGTTTGGCGACAATGGCAACACAATCCTGAGAGCCCCCTTCCCAGGCCTGTTTTTCCCTCCCTTGGGGGGCAAGTCTGGGATTATAGCCACACAGTCACAGGGAACACAGCCTTCCCTCTTTGTTTGGAGCACCTGCCAGCTTCGCAAAGCAGAGCTAGTCTCGCGAGCTACAATTCGAGCAAGGTTGTAGACACGGCCCGTTTTGCGGAGATCTATGTTCCCGGGCCTACGTAAAGCCCCAGACAAGGATGCTGCCGTCAGTCAGGTGACAACTGCAGGACCGCCCTTGCAACTCAAACACGGCCGCACGCAGGCAGGCGCAGCTGGGGCAACCATAATCGAGGACGGACGGGATCTGGTGGCTCAATGACCATCAGAGATAAAGGACAGAGGAAAGGGCCGAGGACCTCAAACATGGCTGGGGGAAGACGGAGATGGAGAGGTTGCAGGGCCTATAGTACAGACAGGTGTCCACCCTGGAGTCCCCCCACAGCGGGAGGCCACGAAGCAAACCACGGAAGGGTGAAGGTGGAGCCACCTTCTATACAGGCCCGCACGGGGCTGGACGGGGCACCCACCCGAGTGAGTGTGCGTGCCGCCATGTTGCCTGAAGAAGCAACAGGGAGGAAGACACAGCTGGGTCTCTCGGGGGACGGATGCGCCACTCTGCCCTTCCTGATCTGAGTCACGGTGTCCCACCGGCCGGGGGTGGCAGCTCTTGATGCCCATGTGTCTCGCCCTCCAGGGTTTCTGCCTTCCCTTCACGCCAACGTAGTGTCTTGGCTTTCCCCCACGATTCCACACTTAGAGTTTTTCCTGGGACCTTTAGCCCAACTGCCATCTGGTTACTTTACAGCACGAGAGGGCTCCTTTAAGGCCAGCACTCTTAGACCCTCATTTGTTCGCGCCCGAAGTAAATGAATGCGGTCGAGGCAATTCACCAGTTACGTGGAGGCACCGCCACAGCATTTAAACGGCTCTTGGAAAGTCTGCACAGTTTCACAGGGCGAGTGGTCTCAACGGCAGACACACTGTGCGCTGGCACCGTGTCTTACGGGGCCGTCCCTGAAGCACACCAGTCGAGAAGCGCGACGGGGCCGACGTCCAGGGAAGTTCTTGGGGAAGGGACTGTAAAGCCGGCAGGATGTCCTCCAGTAGCGTGAGCTTTTGCGTCCAGTTGTGTGGGAGCCCAATTTCAGAGCACATTAGAAAGAAAACCACAAAATCAAGGTGGCTCATCCAGTAGAACCCATGGGATGACATTCCACGGGGGCTATGACTCTTCTTTAGTGAAGCCGGTTACTGACTGGCCTGCAGAGCTGAGACGGCTCACTTACTACAGTGATGGAAACAGACATCAGAGCCCCGGGATCTGATCTCTTTCTAGTTCCCACCACCACGTGGCAGTTGTCATCCCAATGCCTCCTGCCACTGTCTCTTGTTCTGCACTGGGATTGGCTTCCTGAATCCACCCACCCCAGCCCTGGCAAAGATCGCGCCTCATAAAAACACGTGCTTCCACACGTCCTGTCCGTGGACTCCAAAGACAGTGGCCTTAATACTTCATGTTTCTGAGGTGCCGACAAAGATGAATGTGACACAAAGAGCAGAAGGCAATCGAAGGACAAGGGGACACAGACCCTGTGAAAGGGGCTCTGAGATAAAAGCAAGTTGCAAGAACTCTAGAACTTCCTGTAAGTCGTGTCTAAAAATCATTCTAATATAGCTATATAAAACTTCTATGTCAATGTGTTTCTATCTATCTGTATCTCTTGCTCCTGGAGTCGTCCTAGTGACTGGAGCTCCAAGAAGCATGCTCGGAAGAAATCCTGTATTTCCAGATCTTCCCCACACTGTCCTGAGGGTGCTTTGAGCCTCTCACTGTGTGGCAGGGAAGGCGCACAGGATCCTCAGAGGCCCACAGGGGGTGCTCAGCATACCTACCAGTTGCCCGCCAGAGGTCCCGGCAGTGGAGGGGGCTGGAAGGAGGAGGCAAGCCAACCAGGACGCTGGGCTGAGAGCACCCAGGGGCCGAACTCCTGAACCCGGCTCTGGGGACGGTGAGGACAGAACAGGGCAGAGCCTGCCAGCAGCCGCCACCCCCTGGCCAGCAGGAGGCTGCAGGAAAGTGCCATTTGAAGGGGCCGCCCTGTTTCCGTGGGGCTCAGGGGGAGGAGGGAGAAGAGGGGCCAGGCTCACCACCGCACCCATCGCACCCATCGGGTGTCTCTTTCTCCTGCCTGAGGTCTCACAGGGTTGGCGGGATTCTTATTTCAGGAGCGATTCACCAACACCCTTCCTTATATGGCCGAAATCTCTAGCTTACGTTACTCCTGAATACAAAAATGCTGAAAGCAAGTGAACGTGCAGTATTGTAAGAAATATCATACGAAAGGTCTGGTGAGAGAGCCATCACTGGGCATGCTGTGTGCAAATTCGTAGCCCGTCTCGTTTTGTTCCTGATCGGCACCAGCCACAAGAGGTGGCCACTTGAGGGAGAGCAGCTAAGTGTGAAGCTTTAGGCACTGAGGGTGGGGAGGAGGGGCAGAGAGGCCAGGCTGGTCTGTGCTGCTGGGGTGTGGGAGGCAGACGGCAGTAAGTAGGGTGAGCCCGGGGCACCAGGCGGGAGGAGACGGATAGCAGCAGGACAGCTCGTGCGGGGTCTTGCCCGGAGCCCGCTCCTGCGAGGGACCAGAGTGTCCCCTGACTCCCCTGCCCCGCCCCAGGGCTCCGAGAAGATGGGCCCCGGGGGCTGCTTCTCAAAGGAGAAGGCTGCGCCTCTCTGGCACGGGGACAGAGGGCCCGGAAAAAGAGCCGGCCACCAGTCAGCATGATGGCAGAGTGTCCCGTTTCCTCCCATGGAGCTGCGGGCTTAGAGAGGAGACATCGCTTCCCGCAGCCTGACACCTGGGCGTGAGCTGTCCACGAATGTGTTCGCCCAAGGCCGTTTTCGGACAGTTTCTTGATGCATTTGAGGTGATGTCACGGGCTGGCCACAGTCTAGTTGTAGAATTCCGTCAGGCTCCCCCCCCCCCCCCGCTTGATGAGCTCTGAAAGGATTAAAGTGCTTTTAGTGCTTTTACCTGGAAACACCAAGAAGTCTTGGAGCGAAGCGGATGGTCCCACGACACGAGACAGACCGCTCGTCCCTCACCGGAGGCGGCTGTGCCCACGACAGGGCCCCGCTGGAGCGCAGCGCTGACCCGCGTGGGGTAGGGGCATCTGTGCAGTTCCAGCACAGAACATGGATCTGTTCTGAGGTCTCCGTGCTTCAGTCGTGTCCTCAGCGATCAAAGGCAGGGGAGCGGGAGGCCCCAGGCTTTAAAGCGGGCCCTCTCCCAGGCGAACAGGCTGTACTGCCGGTGGCCGCGCATTCGCGGGTGTCCCCGGACTTTCTGGCCCTCGCACCCAAACAGGCCGGCGCCTTTCCCCCGTCGCTCTTCTCCGAGGGCTTCCCACCCCCGCGGCTGCCGCGGGGGCCGCCGCGCCACACTGCCCCCTCACAGGCTAGGCCACGCTGGCCGCCCGGGGCGCGCCGGGGCTCCGGGAGGGACGGACGAGCGGCTCCGGAACACCCTCCCGCAGTGCGGACACCCGCAGGGCCGCCCCTCGCCGCAAGTCGCCCGGCGCTTGAAGAGGGGGGAGCGCCTCCGAAGGCCTTCCCGCACTCGCCGCACGCGAACGGCTTCTCCCCGCTGTGGACGCGCTGGCGGTGAATGAGCTGGGACGCTCCCTTGAAGGCCTTGAGACACTAGCCGCACGTGTAGGGCTCGTGGCCGCTGTGGGTGCACCGGTGCTTGAGTAGGTTGGGGCCGCGACTGAAGGATTTCCCACACCGCGGACACAGGTGCCGCTTGTCGGCGCCCGGCGCACCCCGCGGCCTGAGACCCTAATCCCGCCTCACGCCGTCCTGTCTTCTCCGCCTCATCGCTCTTCCCTCACCGGAGGAGCCGCCTTGACCTCTCTCCCCGGGCTGGTCATCCCTGCCGGAACCCTGTGCGATTAGCGGTCTCCCCTGTTGGCCGGGCCACCTGGCTCTCGTTACCGGCCCGAGGGTCAGTCCTCGGGAGCTCTTGGGGGCAATGCTTCTGCTTTGAAGTCAACGTCCTGTTCTCTATCCCGTCACCTACAGAGACAGCGAACACCAAACAGTGTCACCCTCTCCCCGGAGCTCTGTTTAGGGTCTGTTGTTCTCACCCTCACACCAAAGCCGAGAAGGAATGAATGGGGGAGACGAGGACGCGGGGGAAGAGGCAACATGACCGTCAGCGGACAGGAGGGCAAGAGGGGAAGTGGTGGGACCGAGCTGCAAGTACTGGAACTGATGTGACGCAGCAGGAGGCGCTCCCTCCATCTGGCGCCTCAACAGGGACTCCTCAGGAGAGTAAAGTCTGGCACAAAAGGGGAACTTCCCACCCGAGGTGGCCGCACTGCCCTGCTCGGGTGGCCACTCTTGCCGAAAGGCTCAGGTGAGCCGGCTGCGCGGCCCTCACTCACCCGTCCGCACCCCCGCAGCAGCCCGTGTCCCGTGGATGTCTGCCGCCTGGGGCTCGTCCCCTTGCTCCAGCCAGGAGACCAGGTGAGGCTTGGAGGCTAAAAGTCCTGTCCGTGGAAATGAAGCAGATCAGTCACTCCTGAACTCAGCCCAGCGTCAGCATCTCCAAGAACAGAGAGCAAAGAACTCTCTAGAGATTGCCCCTGGGAAGGTCCCGATAAAGGGCAGAGTCCCTTTAAGGAAGCAAAGGACTTTGGATGCATGGGGGCCAGGCGGGCACGGGGAGCCCCAAGTAGGTGGTGATTGGGGCCAGCCGGATAACGGTGTTATTCCTTGGCCTGCAGGGAGGTCAGGAGCCTGCTGGGACATGTGGCATCGACTGACGATTCCGGAACTGCGCTGTGAAGCCTGCATCTGCCCAGTGAGGGTCAGAAAGAACCAAGGGGAAGAAAGTAGCCTCCCTGCGTGTGGTTCGATTATAGAGTTTAAATCTGGAGAGAAGGGGCGCCTGGGTGGCGCAGTCGGTTAAGCGTCCGACTTCAGCCAGGTCACGATCTCGCAGTCCGTGAGTTCGAGCCCCGCGTCAGGCTCTGGGCTGATAGCTCAGAGCCTGGAGCCTGTTTCCGATTCTGTGTCTCCCTCTCTCTCTGCCCCTCCCCCGTTCATGCTCTGTCTCTCTCTGTCCCAAAAATAAATAAACGTTGAAAAAAAAAATTAAAAAAAAAAATCTGGAGAGAAGAAATGGAGGAAACCGGCCCCCTGCAGCCCCGCAGGCAGTGGGGTCTCACTGAGTCGCAGTGAGTTGCAGTGAGTCGCAGTGGGCGGGGGGGGGGGGCACCCCAGCTCCTTTCTGGATTGATTCAGGCTGCAAAATCAAACGCTCTTCTTCTCCTGGGCCTCTTCGCCTGGCTTGGCTCAAGGAACAGAAACTGCTAAACTCTGTACAGTGCAGCCTTGATAAAAATAAATGAAGTCTCAAAGAGCGCACATACACATTCAAGGATAACGTGCGTCCACCTTTTGGGTAGAAGAGGTCTAGTCAACCCACGACCTTCTATGCAAAAGTACTATGATGGGGGCCCGTACGGTTACCACTTTCGGGTCAATGCACGTATTCTCGGGCTTACAGTAACCAACAAGCGATTCCGTTCAGAGATCCAGTAGCGGCGACTGGACGTGGGTGTGAGGTCCTTACCCAGTGACACGAAATGGCGGTAGTTCTCCAGCAACACTCTCTTGTAGAGGATCCTTTGGCTGAGGTCCAGAAGCTTCCATCCTGTCTTGATGAAGTACACGGGCACGTCTTCAAACGATACCGGCACCTAAAGTGAGAAATTCCCAGGGCTGCAGGCAACCAAACATGGGGTGGGGGTGGGGGTGGGGGTGGGGACTCAGAGAACTCAGCAGCTAAGGGGAGACTCGGGGTCGCCAGAGCTGTGAGGCTGGGGCATGATGAGGGGGCGGACGGAGACGGTCAGGGAGCCCCGCTCACCTTGGGTCCGGCCTTCAAGAGAATGGCTGCCATCGCGGGGGTACAAACAAGCTAAGGGGACTGGCAAAAGCCAAGTGCGAGATGAGGCCCGCCCTAGTCCAGCACCACCTCGTCCAGGTTAGGTCCCAGTCACAGCTGCTGGCGGGCAAGACTCGAACACATCTTTCTTGGGGGACACAGTCCAACCCATAACACTTTCCCAGACCGAGCTGCCGCCCTCTCCCCTCACCTGGGCGGTGGGCCGCCAGACAGGGGGTCCTGCCCACCTCCGGCGAGCCTTGGCTTCCTCTTTCTCATTCCTTTCTTCCCATGGGGGCAGGACCCCTGCACCCCGACTTTCCAGCCATCCCCGGAAGCTCCACTGCTGACGCCTTTTCCTCTCAGGTCAGGGTCCTTACAGAAAAACTCCCAACACACACATACGACTCCACCTGTAAACAACCTCACTGTCAGGGAACAGAGGAAGACCAGGCTAGCGAAACGCACTATGGAGGGAGCCACAATAGCTAGGGGAGGGGTGCTCTCTGAAGGAGTCACGTTCAGGCTGAGAGCCGAAGGCTGCGGGTGAGCTGAGACGGGGGCCGGGGTGGGGGTGCAAAAGGGGAGAGACCACGTGTGCGCCTTGGGGACAGGAGGCAGCGGGGGCTCACACCAAGGGCAGGAAGAGTCTGTCAGGGACAGAGCAGGCAGTGTCTGATTCCTCCGCATCGGCTCTCAGTGCCAGGAAACGGCGGGGCCAAAGAAAGTTTGCTCCGAGGATGTGCTCCGCACCCAGCTGGAGGCCAGAATGTGCAATTCCCCGGTGGGGAAGCGGAAGAGCCAGGCAGTGGCTGGTGGGGAGCGGGCCCAGGATGCTTTTGCTGCGTGGGTGACCCCAGCTTATTCATGCTACAGGAGAGAGGATGGGGGGACGGGGTCCCGGAGCATTTAAATTGCCGCAAGGTCCCTTATCGCCAGTGACGAGCTGTCACCCAACACTAGCCCAGAAGAAATAAACTCATGTGTCTGATGAAGACATTTACATTAATCAGACGGAAAGAATCCCTTAAGGCGGAGTGGACGCGAAAACCGCCGGGTGACAGGCCTAGGAGGCGTGGATAGCCGCACGATGTCAAGAGGTCTTCCCCTGCTTACCGCTGGTCCCGAGACAGAAAGCTAAGCGAACGGCTGCTGGACACAGGTCGGACACGCCTCCTGTGACGATGCCACCCCAGGGAGGGCACAAGGCTCTTGCCAAAGCTGGGCCCAATTCTAGTGCAGCCTTGTGCCCCCACACCCGTTTTATAAAGGATACTGGGGACAGAGGGACCACTTAAAGACACTAGCTACAAGGGAGCAACCGGCCCAATCTAGAAGGTGGGCTGTTCCCGGTCTCCTGCGTGTCTCGGCGCCAGGGGGAAAAGACGAGGCGGGGGAGAGAGGCTGCTTCAGATGAAAGGATAACCAGACGGCCAACGGTCAAGTGTAACGAAGTCCTTGATGAGATGCTGGCGTGAAGGAAAGAGGAGTCAAAGGCAGTGGGGGCCTGGAGGGTGACTGTGCAGCGGCTCTCAGACGACAGCAGGAGCCCGCGCCGGGCGTGGGTTGGATGGATAACGGCCCTGGGTCATGGGAGGAAATGTCCTTCCTTCTTGAAGCACGTAGGGAGAAAATGGTATGCACGCTTCCTGTAAACTATTTCAACAAAAACAAAGGAAAGGGAAAAGGAGAGAGAGAAAGAGAGAGCGAGAGAGCGAGAAAAGCAGGGAGCGAAGGATAGAAGGGCAAAGGGAGGGAGAAACCGAGAAAGAGAGAAACAAGCAAACAAGGCAAGCTGGAGGCCGCCGCTAGCCCCGGGGGGTGGGCACCTGCGCTGCCTTAGACTGTCCTCTCGATTTCGTCTGTTTGCTTGCCGGTGTTCAAAATGAAAAGGGAGGGGCACCCGGGTGGCTCAGTCGGTTAAGCCTCCGACTTGGGCTCAGGTCATGATCTCACGGTTCGGTTCGTGAGTTCGAGCCCCGCCTCGGGCTCTGGGCTCTGTGCTGACAGCTCGGAGCCAGGAGCCTGCTTGGGATTCTGTGCCTCCCTCTCTCTGTGTCCGTCCCCTGCTTGCGCTCTGTGGCTCTCTGTCCCTCTCAAAAATAGAGAAAGATTTAAACAAAATTAAAGAAAAAAAAAAAAACAAAAAAAAAGAGGCCGCCAGTGGGCTTCCGTGCTGGTGCCTACAGAAGACCAGGAGATGGGGCTATTTCCCCAGGAAAAGAACACAGAAAACAAACCCCAGGAAAGGCAGGAGGCGACCCCACACAGGAACTGGGATCGGGATCAAGAACTGGGGCTTCTTCATCTGTGAGGAGGAGTGGCGCCGGGCCTCTTGCAGTCAGGCTTCTTCCTTCCTGGCGGACTTCCTCTGAGGCCTGGCACTTCCAGACCCCGGCTGCCTCCTCCTGGCTCCGGCAGCCTTCCCTGGGGACCTCAGCGCTTGCAGCCCGCTGGGTGGGTCGGCCCCAGGGCCCTGGGCCTAGGGAGGCCGCAGGTCACCCCAGGGCCTTCCACGCGGCTCCACCCAACAGAGCCCTCTAAGGATCATTTAAGGATCAGCCTTGCAACTGGGGTCTCCCTTGTCCTGGGCGGTGGGGGGCGGGGGAGGGGCAGAGGCTGAACTGATGGTAAACAGGGCCACCTCCTAATGGGGTTCTGTCCTTGCCTGCTCACAGCCCTCCCCGGGGTGCCCATCTGACTCAGAGTAGACCCATGTGGCCCCTCCTGGCCTCGCCCTGCCCCCCTCCCACCTGCTTACTCCCTCTGCTCCTGCCACACCGTCCTCTGCGCATTCCCTTCCACACACCAGTCCACTCATACCTCGGGCCCTTTGCACTGGTTGTTCCCTCCGCCCGGTACACGCTCTCATCTCCTTCAAGGTTTTCTGAAATACCCTCATCTGCTCAGACTTGCGACCCAACCCCTCACCTCCTTCCCTCTGCTCTAGTTTCCCCAGGGCACTTACCATCGATGAACACACTCTAGCATCCTTCATTTAAGATGTTTGCTGTCCTGTCGTGTGCGCCCTGCCACCAGGCCTGGACCCGCGTGGGGCGAGTTTTGCCATTTTCTTCCCTGCCCAGCTCGCTCCCTCCCTCTCTTGATCTTGCGGGCCCTCCATCCCACCCCTGGCTTCCTCTTCCTACACCTTCTTCTGGGGAGCTCCTCACCACCAACGGTCTCACCAAAGGGGGGCACCACCGCCCTCCGCCCCCTTGATAGCTAGCGGCCAGGACACGTCTGGGACCCTTACCGCCTGTGCCTGCTGAGTTCGCCAGGTGCCCCTGAGCAGGAGTAGCCGCCACCTCGAATTGCCGGCCTGCCCAGCGCACCCACACACACGGGCGCAAAATCCAAACTTACCCGCCGGGGGGCTCCCTTGCCAGCTCCAGGATCAGGGGCGAATCGCAGTCAATGAGCATAGGCTGCTTTCCAGGGGCCCTCTCCCTCGCCCCATGGCCACCTGCCTGCCGAGACGCCCCCGCGCCCCCCCCCCCCCCCGCCTCCGCAGGGTCCCGCTCTGGGCCGCCACAACCCTGCCAGGCCGGCATACTGGGGCTCCGCGGGCCGCTGCCGGGCTGTCGGTCCTAACCCCCCCCCCCCCCCCCCCCCCCGCCCCCGGCAGGCCCAAGGGCAAGGCTGCCTCCTCCGAGAAGCCCTCGGGGACAGCGGCCCCAGGAGATGGCGGGATTCCCCGGCCGGTCTCGACCTGGTCCCTGGGCGCCGCTCTCAGGAGGCGCGTTCTGCGAGGCTGTCCGTCCTCCTCTGTCTAGAGCCAGGAGCAGGGCCGGGAGGCGGGCGGGGAGCGGGCGGGGCCGGGGCGGCGGCGGCGGCGGCGGCGGCGGCGGCGGCAGCGGCGTGGGAACCAGGCTCGGCGGGTGGGGGG